AAGTATTAAAGCCATTATTGGCTGAATATTGGCATGATAAATCAACCATTAATGGCTCAATACTGTTTATAACGTTTGGCCGTATATAATTATCTATTATTGGACCGAAGTTATCACTCCGCAGTATTCCCATTGGTGGACCAGTTATGGTTGCCATTACCGCGCCAATATAGGTGACCTGGCAACCAGTCTTGGGCCAATATTGGGCCAATAGTAAAATCCTATATGGGCGGTTATCATCTTTGGCTAGGCGTTGTTTTTTGTTCTAACGCCAGAGTTTATATAGCATATAGAGTTTTATGATCGGTCCAGTAATAGTCCAGTACTGATTGCCAGACTTGCAGTGCTGATAAAAGTTACTGGTACAACACTGGCAACACAATGGCTTCTATCTAGATGATAACCTGGGTCCATAGCTCGTGCCAGATTTGACCCAATACTGGCCACCAACATCGGTCCAATAATGGGTGTCAATATCCATCCAATACTGGCTACTGACATCGGCCCAATGTTGCATACCAGTATTAGTTCGACACTGCTCAGACAGCACAAAAAAAATATTTATATACATTTTTCTTTTTTTTTTATTTTTCTTAAATTTTCCACTTTACTGTTTTACACGCTACATAATTCACTTTAAATTGTACTTCGAAAATTTGCTTACCATTGCTTTGAACTTGGGACCTCTGGTTCTTAAGTCGTTTACCTTACCTACTGCACCACTATCATTTTGACTGAAAAATGCTTTGTGTTGTATACATATGGTATATATCCATGCACGAAAACAAAAAAAAGTATATTTAAAAAATATTTACTTATTTTAAAAGTAATTAAATACAAATAAATTATTTTGTAAATTTAAATAAATTGTTTTCTGATAAGAAACTTTAATTTGAAACACAAAAAAAATACTTTTAACATTAGAAAATAATTTACTTAGATTTATAAAATGATTGTATTTTATTTACTTTTAAAACAAGCAAATATTTATTTAAACATAGTTATATTTTAAGTTTATATTTTAAGAAATTAATTTTCTTCTTGTAAGGAAATCATTTGCTTATTCTTATATATAGATATTTTAAATTAAAGAAATATTTTTTTTTATCTAGACATTCATAATTTTACAACTCATTTTACAAATTTGAAAAATATTACTTTATATTTAGTACATGTTTTGTAAAATTTAACAAATTTTTTTTCAGTTAAAAATTATATTTAAAAAAATATATTTCTTTAATTTAAAGAATTTCTTTTCAGTGTACATTACCAATTTAATTTTCGATTTTCTTATTTCCTCATTAATTTAATAATTATAAATAATTATATTTATTTTTCATGTGTAATATTTATAGAAATACTTATACATACATACATACACACAAAATATTAATACAAATATTTATTTTTGGTTTACAATAAATATTATATAAAATATATTTAGTCTATATTTTAATAATATTTTGAGTAAAGATTTTGATATTTTTTCCTTTATGTATATAAAATATTTATAAAACATTTATATAATATTTTTCAAAAATAATTTAAAATAAATATTTATAAATATTTATCATAAATATTGTGTGCTGTGTGGGTAATCGCTGGCATTTACCCGACACTAGTAAATTTACAAGGAGCATTCGTGAAGTGTATGTTTCCGATTTCGATGAAACTTGACTTATTTATGGAGTGGCCAAAAATAAGGGACCCATATTTTTTTTATTGGCAACGGCGCAGGTTTAAAGGGTGAAACTACCCCTCAAAGTTTCATGTCCTTTTTACTATCTCTGTAACTATTAGAGATAGAAAAAACTTTTTGACAAAAGTTATGCGGTTTTTTGTAAAAAATAAAATGGGCTAAAAAGTTTTTTTCTATCTCCAATAGTTACAGAGATAATAAAAAGGACATGAAACTTTGAAGGGTAGTTTCACCCTTTAAACCTGAGCCATTGCCAATAAAAAAAATATGGGTCCCTTACGCGAAACCACTCGCTGGACGGCGAAATAGCTCTCAAAATGTGCTCCTTCAACAAATCTTCCGTTAGATGGCAGCACGGCAGATCTCGATAACGTCACAAGCGCAAATGTGACAGACAGAGAGTGTGTCTAGCATTATGTTGTCTAACATTTAAAATTAGTTGATGCTACAAACTATAATAAAAATTTTAAAAAATACTAAGAATATTTATATAATTTTCTTGTATGCAATTATATCAATAAAGACCCAAGTAGGAATTTACTATTGGCATCAAAGTGGCCCAGTACCGATTTATGGTAAACGTTACTGGCATAGTACCAGATGCCAGTAGTTTAGTATTATTAGTATTGGTGATGCTGGGATGATAGAAAAGGGTCAGTACTTGGAATGATGCTGGGATGATAGAAAAGGGCTAGTACTCGGAAAATAGTACCATCACAGTACCGAAAATCAGTACTGTACCAGTATACAAAAAGTATTGATTTGAAAGTATCTATTGATTGATTTGAAAGTATCTATTCTCAGTACTGGGCCAGTATCGATTCCTAATAATTTTTATTATTTGTACAATTGTTAATATCAAAACTATAGTACGGAAAGAAACTATAGTACGGAAAGAAAGATCAGACTATGGCCGGGCTGCTCTCGTTTGTACCTACACATGTCTATTTTTAATAGTCATATGAGGAAAATATTTTCGGGGCGACGGCTGGAATTGAACTCGAGTCTTCCGCTTGTCAGTCAAGTATTCTTACCACTGAGCTATCTAGGTTTCGCGTTAGTGACCTCTTCTGTTTTCCTATAAAGGACATTGGTATCGTCCGTTTTTCGGTACCGGCACAACATCCTCCATTGGCAGATTATATACGATTCTTATTTGGGTATCCAGTACTGATTCTACGAACAGGATCAGTACCAATAATACAGCTTTTTAAATATGGGTCAATACCGAAAACGACAAACACTTTTTGATAACGCTCCAATACACATACGGTACGACTATCCAGTACGTAACTTTGGTATGGAGCCAATACCAATAATACAGCTTTTTTATATTAGGCCCAGTACTGAGCCAGTACCAAAACCAGACACCCGCTTTTCGGTATCGACCCAGTATCGGGCCATTTTTCCATACTGGCGAAACGTATATAATTCCTACTTAGGGAAGACCGTTATATCAATAAACAAAACAAATAACGGCGCAAAGTTCTTGATATCATTAATTTTGTGGTAGAAAAGTACAGTTTATTGTACGAATTATTTTGTAATATAATATAATATAATATAATGTAATATAATATAATGTTTTGTACGGATTATTTTGTATGACAATTTTTTTTTACGGAGCACAAGAACTAGGCGCTCTTTTTTTTTACCTTTTCTTAAAAGGTAAATTTTTTGTAGCATTTTGCCTACGTTAGTTTTACCGCGATTACTTATGCCTACTTATCGATAGATCTTATAATTTTCTTAATTTTTCTATGGTTTAGTAACAAATATTTTGAATTTTTTGACATTTTTAGTTTTTTGTCCACCATTGCTCTAATTTTGACGTTTTTTTTTTAAATTTAGGTTCAATCTATAAAAGAAGATCCCAGCTACAAAATAACACTTTCAGAATTAAAAAATTCTGACTCGTTTTCCCGGAATCGTGACAAAATCGCAAAATTGAGGTTTCTTTAAATTAACTATATCTCATTCAATTATTAATATTTTTTTATTACTAATGCTTATTTTATTCTTAACTAGAACATTATAGACGCGCGCTACACGCGCGCTATTTAACATCTTTATTATTACAATAACCTTTTAAATTACCTTATAAAATTATCTTATTTTTATCCTTATTTTTGCCTCAATAATATTCTTCTCTCTTTGTCTGCCCTTTCTTTTTCCTCTTTCTCTTCTACCCTTCTATTCTCTATTTTTCTATTCTTATAATTTATATCTCTTCTGTATTCTTTTCTGCATGAGCTAACCAACGCAATGACAGTTATTTGCCTGATAATTTGACAGATGCAAACGACACGAAGCAAGCCGCAGCTCACATGAAGTGAGCTAAGCGAGAGAACCAATCAGCATCGCGGAAAAGCGGCAACAATTAAATCTCTAACAGGCCTTTTTTTAGAGTGGAAAATGCATTAAATAACTTGGAAAAAATTAACTTTGTATGTTGATTCATTTGTTTTAACCATCATTCGAATATTACTGAATTTTCAGCCGTTGAAATCTGGTTCCCTTAACTCAGAGTAGATTCTCACTTAATTTGAGTGAATGTTTCAATCGATTATAGTGAATATGCTCTAATGACAAATACATTAAATTCACTCTTCAATTACGAGTGAAAACATCCACTCGAAATATTCTTTCAGAGAATTCACTCTATACAAGACAAAATTTTATCGGATTCGAGTGATTCGATGATCACTCTATTTTTCACTCGATGATGACTCTATTTTTCGAGTGAAATTTCACTCCAAGAAAAAATTTTGAAAAACTATAAATTCTCTTATAAAATATATTAATTTGATATATTATATATTGTTTGATTTAATAGACTGAGGAATAGTAATTATGTTTACTTAATTCCAGCACTTTTCTTCTATACACTATGATTAATCGATGCATCAATACGGGAAAAATCGAAAGAAATGGGAGGATCATATACATTGTTATCTATTCCCAAACAGCACAATGTCCAAAATCAGGACATAAGACATCTTCAAAACGTTTTAAAGACGTTTTATGTCCTGGTTTTGGATATTGATATTATCTGGGATATTATCCAGATCTCGAATATATCGCCGTTATATCGAAGCATTGAAGCCTCTTTTCCGTATCTATGTAAACCCGGCATTCGAATTAACTTTTCTTTGCAGAAAATGTTATAATTTTTTTTGTAATTCTTTATAGGAACAATAATTTCGTTTGTAGTTCTAATTACAAAAATTTA